ACTTTACTCCTTAAATAATGTGCCAAATAAATAGGGAGGGAATATTTGAAAATGATTTTTGTTAAGTTTTATTTTAAATATGAAAGAGAAGCAATAACTCGTGGTAACTGGTACTACCTCCGTAACTTAAAAATCTTCCCATTTCAAAAGTAGGTAGATTAATAATAGTGAAAGAGAATATGAATTATTGAGGATATAATGGGAAGATAGTGAAATAATGTGATGGAATGTAGGATAAATCCAAAAAAAGTAGTTGTAATGCTGTACGGAGTATTATTTTCAGAATTATTGAGAGTAGGATAGAGAATTTTTTTTTGTTCCTTGTAAGTCATATGAGGTTGATTATGACCGCATGATTGGGGAACGTTGACCTAATTTGACCTATCAAGTGAGTGAATCTCGAAGAAAATTAGAAATGAGAAAAATGTCAATTCAGTACACCAAATTGTGGCATGGAGAGTAAAGAGTACCTCATTTTGCATTTGATACTAGGAAGGACACATACTTGGTAATTTGGTGTTGATCAAGGGTGCATATATGCCTTTGACGTTAGAACTTGCTGATGTGGCAAACTAAAGCCTTTATTTTTGAAACGTTGGACTCTAGCTCATCAATTGCTCAACCCTTTAATATCTAGCCCTAATTTTATCAATTGATGTCTGCGTCTCAGAATCCAAACCTTCATCTGGTCCTCGCTTCTTCTTTATCTTCTCTTCCTCGGTTATGATTTTTCTTTTTTTGGTGACGAATCCTAGACTTTTGCCGAGTCTTTGTCTTATGGACTGATTTTACAGTCCACGTCCTCCGTTAATTTGTGGATATTTTTGCTTTCGGAATATAGTTTTGAGAGCAACAGAAGAATACTTATTTTTACTTTCCTCGGTTATGGACTGATTTTTACTTCCTCCGTTAGTCGTTGATTTTTCTTTTTTTGGTGACTGATTTTATGTTATGTAATCATTTTTGTTGCGTATAGAATACAAATTGCATAGCCTTTCTCAGTTTAATCTCCCTGTTACGCTTAGTGCACGGTGCACCCATGCTTGGAAGAGCTAGTGGACAAAGAGCTTTACATGCATTAGGCCCTGCTTGCTCATTAATGAATAAAGCTCATATTAAGAGTGGAAATAGTGGACTGACTAATGATGGATTAGGATTTAATGTGGCACTGTAATTTGGCCATGACTCAATTACAGGAAGTTCAATGGCTGGGGGAGCAGATATATATGACCCAACTAGAAGTAGTTTAGCAGCCACAGTATCTGAAGGTGTTTGGGTCGAATGAAGAGTTCAAAAGGAAAATTGGAAATCAAAGAAAAAATTGGACCAAGCACTTGACAGATGATGTGGACCAAATTTGGACATATCACTATTCCGTTTGCCATGTCAGCTATGTTAACTTCTTAATATGACTAATGTACTCATTTAACACCAAAATACCAGTCGCTATACCGTGGTACCGACGCACGTTCCGCATCATACACCCAACTCCAAAACGACAGCGTTTACATTTAATTAAAAAACACGCGCACGAAATCCAACGGCCCCACTCTCCCACCTTTTCCCTCCAGCGGTTATTCTCTCAGGTGTTAATTTCGAAAATAAAAAATCTCTCCATCTCCCGATGTTTCATTTGCGCCTTTCAAAAAAAAATACAGTTTCTTCTCTCTACAGAGCTCTTGCAAAATCTCTACGAAGCAAGTTCTCAAAAACTCATCGCTGACTTCCACCTCTCCACTTCCACCTCTCCTTGAAGGAAAACAAGAGATTAAGTGAGGGATTAACACCATCGACGGCAGGTTACTTCGGTATCTGTGTACAGATTGAAGATGGTTAGGTCTAGAAGCAAATCTGTTGTCAGGTATCAACTATAACCAAAAATCGAACTATTAAACAATGCGATTGCTATTCTACTTTAAATATCAAAATGCATGTAACATTGAAGTTGTGAATAAAGCAATGTTCGTTTCATAATATGCAACTGCTTATGTTTCGAAATTCAGATGAAATATTTTATCTGCTTTGATTTATATAATATAGTGTTGCATCGGTCAATATGTTTGTTATGCCTCTTATTATGTCACTGAATTTTTTTTTGTAATATAGTGTCGCATTTCACTGAAAATAATAACAGATTAACTTTGCTTAAAATTATGTAACTTGTTTATAATAATAACTAAATCCTCTGCCTTGTTTTGTGACTGTAACTAAGTCCACATTTCATTGTTCATCTGATTGTCCATGATGTAACTTCACCTCAGTATTATGTAAATTGTGCGTGACAGTATGTAACTCATGTGCTCCAAATTTCATTGTTCATCCGATTGTCCATGATGTAACTTCACCTCAGTGTTATGTAAATTGTGCGTGACAGTATGTAACTCATCTGCTCCAAATTTCATTGTTCATCCGATTGTCCATGATGTAACTTCACCTCAGTGTTATGTAAATTGTGCGTGACAGTATGTAACTCATGTGCTCCAAATTTCATTGTTCATCTGATTGTCCATGATGTAACTTCACCTCAGTATTATGTAAATTGTGCGTGACAGTATGTAACTCATGTGCTCCAAATTTCATTGTTCATCTGATTGTCCATGATGTAACTTCACCTCACTGTTATGTAAATTGTGTGTGACAGTATGTAACTCATGTGCTCCAAATTTCATTGTTCATCTGATTGTCCATGATGTAACTTCATTTCACTGTTATGTAAATTGTGTGTGACAGTATGTAACTCATGTGATTTAATGTCATATTTGTATCATATAAGGAATACAAGAAGTGCTAGAGCTTCTGAAAATGAAACTCATGAAACAGAACATCAGAATGAAGCTGCTAGGATAGTGAACACAGAAGAACCAATTTTAAGACTAGAATATCATCAGCCAACAACAAGCAAAAAAAGAAAAGCAGCACCAGAAAAGAAGAAAGAAGAATCTGAAGAATCAGACAATGAATGTGAAGAAGTAGAGAGAGGCAACAGGCAGCCTTATGTAAACCTCAGAACAAGAGTAGGACCAGCCCCTTTCATAAAGTTGATTAAACTGTTAGATGACAACAAAAAAGCAGCAATTGAATGGATTGGGTTCGGTGGATTACTGCATTTAAACTTTGAAAGATTCTATGGAGATTTGGTTGAGTTTCTGTTGAAGAACTTTAGACCAATTTCAGGACAGCTACAACTTGCCAACGGTGAGCTGCTAGATATTGAAGATGAAGATGTCAAAGCTGTATTTGGTCTGCCAAAAGGAAAGATTGAAGTTCAAGAAGCGAATGCGAAGAATGAAACTGAAGAGTATACCCAACTGCTGCAAGAATGGAGGGAAGAATGGGGGATTGATAAAGGAAGCCCTCATACATCAAAAATGATTGAAAAAATAGTTGCAGATACTGATTCTGGAGACCGATTCATCAGAAACTTTGTGGTCTTTACAGTCTCTTGCCTCATCAGAGGAAACCAGAGTGTTAGAAGCAATTTTAAAATATTGCTATCTTTGGTGAATGTAGCTGATATACCAAAGATGAACTGGTGCAACTACACAAGAAGATCGTTGATAGATGCATGTGAGGAATGGCAAGCTAATCAATCAAAGATGTTTAGTGGACCATTATTGTTTCTAATGATATGTTACTTTGACCGAGTACAATTCAAAGGCCAAATAACGCAGACTGCTTACCCAACAATTAGAATCTGGGGCAAGGAGAAAATTGACAAGAGAGTGAAAGATGAGAGAAAGGTGGGTTTTGGTCTGGGGAAGGTGACAAAGCGAATAATAATAGTGGAAGATGAAGATGAAGATGAAGAAAAAGAAGGAAAGGATGATGAAGAAAATGAAGATGCTGAAATGTTGTCAAAGGAGGTAAATTTTAATACAACACTTTGTGATCTTAAAGACTATTTTATGTAACTTAAATCAATTGTCACATAACTATAGGATTTTGACAAGGAGTCTGTAATGTTAAAATCTCTGTTATGTAACTTAATTCAATACCAATGTATCTTATGTATTATTAAACAACTAATATTATAATATTTATAGGATTGTGTGAAGGAGATTATAGCTGTGGCACAAAAGTTTAGTGATGCTTTTGTTGAATTTTCAAAGTTGCCATCGACAATTTCAAAAAGATTCCCAAACTCAGATATCTTGAAAAAGATATACATGACGACTGTTGATTACTTCATCAAGCAAGCTAATGGCAAAGAGCAGGCCAATGAGAATCAGAGATTGTTTGAGAAGTGCACATTGGAAGAAGATGATGATTTCTTCAATGAACCTGGTGTAATGGAAGCACTTATAAACCTTGAGAAAGCTGCACTACTGAAATTCTCAATGCCTTCATTTGATTTGGGCATTGAGTTTACCATGTCTCAACCTGAAGCAAATGCCAATCCAAAGAATCAGAAGCAGACTGATGAACAGACCGCAGAGATCGCAAGAGCAGTAGAAGGTGAAAACAATTTAGACGATGTCACTGCAGGAGTAAATGAAGGAGAGAAAATCAATACTCCTGAAGTGAATCGAAATGATGCTAATGAAGAAATGAATATAGAGGTTGGGGTGCCTGGAGATTACAAGACTGTTGCTGATGGTGAAGCAAAGAATGAAGCTGATAACAATCAATGGTAAGTGTTATTTGTTTCTTATGTAATTCATTAATATTTTTAACTAATCAAATCAACTTAACAATATGTTGTTTTTTCAAAGTAATGATGACGTGAAGGCATATAGAAGAAAGAAGCTGAAAAAGTTAGGTGAAGAATGTGTGAATTACAGATCCCCATTTCTGAAGAATAATAGAAGATTGTGTAAGGATCTTAACAGGGAAGAAAAAATAGTACTTGACTATGCCTTTTCAAAAGAAGTTCTGAAGTAAGAAAGTCTGATATTATATAATTTATTATTTCAATATAAATATTATTTCGTCATTATATTAATAGTTTATATTGGTTTGAAAAATATTATTCTATTAGTGATTGTGTCTACCATGATGACGGAGGTGTGTTTATAACTCATGAGGAGTTGCAAACCCTTGAAGATCAAAGTGTAGACAACTCTATTATAGACGCATGGGCAAGAATTTTGAATGACAGAGAAAAGTCAAGCAATACTACAAAGCGTGCATTCATAGCTTCAACCATAGTCTATGTATGGATAGTTTTTTCTTGTAAATTTGAAAATTAAAGTAGTGAACTTCAGTTTCTATATACTGATTGAATTTAATCAATTTGAATGTTCAGGCACAGTTTAATTATACCTCTGGTGACCCAATTGAAAACATGGTTGAAAGATTGGAAAAGGAAATGAATGAAGCAGGAGCAGATGTTAAGCATCTTGATATGGTAAATTTCATTAGCATTTCAAATTATATATGTGGATATATAAATATAAAAACTACAGCAAAATAAGTCACATTTGGTAATTCTTATATGTATATTGTTAAAAGTTGCAACTACATATATCAAGCTTTTTAAATTTAAGAATTAAATAATTAGAGATATGCAAAGTGTGTAACATACCATGTAACTTGAGGTGTTGAATGATGTAAGTGCTTATATGAGTTATGTACATTCTGTATTGTTTTACGTTACTGATTTCACTGTGCAAAATACACAGACGAAATACTTATGACTGACGTATACTGCAGATAATGTTTCCAATTCACAAGCATGCGCACTACTACATCTACTGCTTTTACCCAAAAAATAACATTGTTGATGTGATAGACAACCGCATGCTTCCAGATGGGGTGCCTTTTGAGAATAAATATGCTGAAACTTTTAACAATATGGTAAAAATTCAATACAACTTTTCTGGAAATAACAAATGATATATTATATTTTATTTTAATACATTAATTTAATTTCTTGTATAGGTTGCGGGGTTCAAAGTCTTCTGTGAGAAACTGAAACTTTCAGATTCACTGCCACCAACATGGGTTCCAAGAATTTTGATTATGCCATGGAGAAGTAATGACAATAATACTGACTGTGGAGTATTTGCCATACGCCATTTGGAGACATATCGTGGGCAGGGACACAGATGGGATTCTGGATTTGCACTGGCTTCTACAAAGCAAGGAATGAAATCTCAAAAAGAAACCCTGCAAAAGTTGAGACTAATGTATGCTGCTCAATTATTATTGTCCAAATTTAACACTCAAAGGGACATTGTTCTCAAAAAAGCAAAAGAGTACATTACGCTGTAAGATATCAATGTTGTGGAGCTACACAAATGATTCTGACAAAACATTTGTTGGTTTGTGGAGGGCATGATGACTTGAATTATGTCAAAACATTATTTCATTTTATGGAGTAGGTGGTGATGGTATGGACAACTTATATATTTGGTTTGTGATATTGTAATGAAAAATGCTTATGCATGTATTATGGACAACTTTTATGTTTGGTTTAAGATATTGTCCACGCAAACTGCTTATATATGAATTTTGTATGATTGAAATTCAGATGATGTAAACAACGGCTAGAACAAATGTAACTCACGTTACAGGACATTGTAACTAAAGCCAAAAAAGAATGAAACTCATGTAACATAGTAGTCAATGTGTTGCACAATAGGGAATGTGCATTGATTTGATACCAGTGATATAACTTGTGTAAAAGAACAGTAAAGAATTTGCAAATTTTGTAAAATCAAAATGAAATTAATTCACTTGCTAAAACTTTATTGATAAACCAATTCAAGTGTAACACTGACAGACTAATGTAAACAAAGGGTATATGAAATGTAAACAATATCACTGATAAATGTAAAACGAGCATACAAAGATGTAAAAATGCAAAACTCCACAGCCAGTGTTCAAGCAGATTACATTCATACTAATTAAATATTACTAAATTTGCATTTCATTCCCAACATTTGGATGCAAAAAGTATGGAGTGAAAACTTGTGGAGATCCAAACATAGGCATCAAAGAAGTCATTCCATGCACTGGATGAGCAAGATAACCATGTGGCACCATGCAATTAACAGTCTCCTGTTCACAAAAAAAAAATTGTCATAAAAAAGTAAAATAATATATAATATTTAACAAATATATAAATATACTTGTACAACTGATTGGGCAACAAGTTTTGAATTAGATGAAACTTGTTGGGATTTGGACCTGCGAGATTTGACTATTTTGCATTGTTTTTCAACAATGCTTTTCTTTCGTGTATTTCTTTGACCTTTAGGAACAGAACGTGGAGGATCCAATATGGTCCTCGATTCAGAAGCAGATTCATCTCCAGCAGTGCGGCGTTTCTGAATATCTAAGAAGTTTTTAATAGAATCATAACCTTGCTCACATACTTGCCTAGCTTCAGGAATACTAGCACTTGAAGCCAATATTGTATTGAATTTCCTAGTCATTTGAACTCTCCACACAGAATCTTCCAATATTTTCCCAAACAAAGTATCAGGTGCTTCAATATGAGAACGACCCATATTTGGCAAAATAGCACCCTTCGTCCACCTAGACATTATATAATCTCGAGGAATACATTTCACACAATGAATGTTATATATACGCAAAATGTGTCTACAAAGAATGCCAACTTCTGAAAACATCTTACAAGTGCATGTCACCGTGTTGTCATTTGCATTAAAAGTAACGCTGTGTCTAATCAAATCTACACCGTCCAACCAAACATGATACACGCAATCATGACAATTCTGTGTTACTAATTTAAAAAAATGTGACATACCCTTCAAATATTGTTCTTGGAACAGTTTGAAGATCTCAAGGGTATACACATCTCTAGCATGAGTTAACAAACTATCTTGCAGCAGTACCATCTCAACAGTGCCTTCTGAACATCTGAAATCTTGACCATTTTCCTCTGACCTCCATTCCTCAACAACATCACCAAACATTTTGTAAAAGTCACACAATGTTGCAGTTTTTGAGAGTCTTCTAGATATGGATCTATTTGTAGATTCACTTCTTTGGGAGGATAGAATGCCACCAGAGAAATAATCCTTTGAAAATGCAGGACACCACTTTTCTTTATGACTGTAGAGCCTTTTCAACCATGTATTGTCACTGCATTCATACACTTTGTTCAACCTGAAACCAATTTTTAAAATAAAAACAATGTTACATATAAAATCAACGCAGGTTACACAAAAACAATACATAAGTTACACAAAAGAAAACATATGTTACAACACATAAATAACTTACTCAGTCCAGTAGAAATCAAACTCGGCAATAGTGTCACATCGTTTAACAACATAATCAAATAAAGGAACAAAGTTCAGCTTCTTGTGTAGAAACATGATGTGTTTCTTGGAATTTTCATCTATATGCCAAGTGCAAAGTCTGTGTCTTGCGTTAGGAAAAACAGATTTGATAGCTGCTGCCATGGAAAATGACTGGTCTGTCATGAAAGTGATGGGGTGTTTACCACCCATAGATTTGAGGAATGTCTGAAATAACCAAACAAAAGATTCCACCTTCTCATTCAACATAAAACCACAACCAAACATTATGTTTTTACAATGATGATTCATACCAACGAAAGGACCACAGATCATGTCATACTTGTTAGTCCGATAAGTTGTATCATGAATAACTACATCTCCAAACCTATCATAATCTGATTTCATATGCCCATCTCTCCAAAAAAAACAACTCAGGATACCATCATCCAAATCAAAATCAAAGAAAAAATCAGATTCCACTTCAGCCCTTTTCTTCAATATACCTATCAAAGTGTTTGAATCAGTGCCATCAAACATTTTACTCCTTTCAGATTCCAAAACATTATAAGCATCACGTTTGGTGAAACCAAGAGAACTAACACCTCCAGATTGCTTTTGAAGCATTCTGTGAATATCGGAAACCTTTGTCCCACTCTCCTTCATCAACATAATAAACTCAAGATATTCACGATCAACACCTCTATGTGATTTCAGCAAATGTCTTTGACCAATGGCACAAAAAGCATGATTGTGATGAATAATATGCTTTGAAACAGTCCAGTCACCATCAACACCAATAGAAAATTGTAACTTCGCTTTACAATCAGAACGATAATCTAGCTTCGTATAAGATTTGTTTTCAGTACCCTTTTGTAGTTTCTTTCCTTCTTTCCAACAACAATAAGACTTCATACTCAAACTTACATTTCCACTCCTAAACCTCTGTTTGTATCTACGAATACCAAATCCATTTTCAAAAGCATGATCGTTGTAAAGATTATAAGCATCCTGTTCACATTTGACACTAAATCCAACAAGTGATTTATTCTCTGTTGCCTGATCAACAGTTTCCAATGCATCTGACAATTTTAAAATCGTACATATCAAAACAAACAGATGTTACATGTTGTTCAAAAAGCAGTTACATAGGATTGAACAGATGTTACATGTTGTTCAAAAAGCAGTTACATAGGATTGAACTAAACTTAACAGAACAAAATTGTATCAAATGACAGAAATATTACCTCTGCTGAGAAGAAATAACAATTTAGAAGCACGTGAACAAGTATCTTCTTCACTAGAACCTAAAACAACAAAAAATCAACTAATATGAATACAACAATCCATATTTCAACGCCAAATAATAAAAAAGAGAACTGAAATAGAATATCATACTGCACATACAAACAAACGAAATGCATACAGCTCAAAACATTAAATAATTACCAATCCATTCAACAGCAACCGATTGATCAAATTCCAAGTTATTATCACCGGTTGAATGAATGTCGATATCGTGTATATTGGACGGCAAAGGATCGCGAAATTCAATTGAAGAATTCAGAAGAACAGAATCAACGACCGAAAATTCCATTGAAAAGAGATGAGAAAAATCGCAGGAAAGTTTGTTAAACAGGGGAGAAGAGTTCGTTGAGCTGCGGAGAAGAGAAGAGTTCGAGAACCTAATTATTACTAAACTAAACGACGCCGTTTGGGATCGGCACACCATGCGCAAGGTGGGCCGATCCCACGGTATAATTTGCGCCAAAATACCAAGTATGTGTACTTCCTCGTATCAAATGTAAAATGAGGTACTCTTTACTCTACAACTTAGCTTACTCAATTGACACTTTTCTCAATTAGAAATGTAAACTTATCATTCATCTTTTTATTCCATGAAGATCCGAATCGCCTCTTGAACCGTGATGAACCCTAGCTTGCACATCAGCAAACCTGATTAACAGAAAAATGTCGTCTTTTCTCGTTAAAGCCTCGCGCGGTTCGCGCAGTACATCGAGACAGCTGACGCTCGAACTCCTCTCATTAAAATGTTGCCTTTGCTCTTCACATTTGTCCGACTCCGCTAATCTTCTCAACCCAAATCCTTATCCCCAAACCCCAATCATCAGATTTAATTTCAGTTTTAAAACAAAGAAACGCGATGGGTTTGCCCAAGATCAATTCAAATCCATGCCACGGTCTTTGTCAGGAGGGAATGCTCGTTTCTCGAGTTCACATGCTGGGTATTCCGTTGATGATGAGCCTTCTACAAGCGATGGCCTTACAGTGGAGGGAATAATTAGAAAAAATTGGGTTGTTCTTGATGAGAGTGAAAGCGATTGGAGAAGTCACGCCTCTTCCATTGCTCAGTCCATTCAACTTATCAAGAAACGCCTAAAGGTATGCTTATAAATTTAGGCATGTGCATTTCTTTTTATGCTTTAGAAGTGATGTTTTGCTAAAAAGTAGTTTCATTCCCTCGTAAAATTATTCGCTACTCCTGTGCTGCTTTAGGATGCAATAAGTTATATTTTAGCACAAAAAAAAGAGTACTCCCATATGTGCAGAAGAGTACTCCAATGACTTGTGTTTTACTTCTATTTGCAGTAGAATATTTTTAATTGTTTTAGCTGGACCTTTTCAGTTTGTTGTTTGTGCTGGCTTGATTTTCCTCGGCACTTCTTATTAGTTGGTTGTGCAGTGTTGTAATGTGTTCTTGGTTTAAAATAAAAGGGGGGGGGGGGGGGGTGTTTATTTTCTGTCATTGCATTGTATTTGATTGTAAATAGTTATTTCTTACACAGACTTCATTTTTTTACAGTGGAAAAAGCTTGTTGATAGGATTG